GTCAAACGCGAGTGCCTAGCAATAATCTGGGCGACAGACAAATTCCGTCCATACCTAGAAACTCGACGTTTTGAACTCCTAACAAACAACTCAGCACTAACATGGTTACACAGGGCTAAAGACAAAAATTCAAAATTAACACGTTGGTCACTACAACTAGCTAATTTAGAATTTAGTACGGTACACGTCCAGGGAATACAAAACGAAGCACCCGATTTGTTATCCTGCGACCCGGCACCGGGCACACCCGTAGACGAAGATCGACTCGAAGAAAAATTGGTAGGGGCACTTGTAACGCCGACAACTAATGTTGACCCCGAGTCGGATCGTATCTTCTCCATGTTCGATAACCACGTCAATGACGACACACCACTCACCGCGTCGACGCTCGAAAAGTGGCAGTCCGAAGACGCCGCGATTCGCGACATAGTCGCCGGTCATAAGTGGGACGGACGAACGCGGAACACTAGGAGTACAAAATCGGGAACAAACACATATGTTTTCTCCGACGGTCTCTTACGCATAAACGTAGGCCCCCACACACCCATCGTGATACCGAAAACAAAAATACAACACGTAATTTGGAGGTGTCACGATCACGTCCTATCCAACCACCCGGGTTGGAAAGAGAGATACCGGGCGGTTCGACAACGGTACTATTGGAAAGGGCAAAAAAATGACGTTAGGTAATATGTCGGTGCGTGCCACGTATGTGCGTGCACGAAACCACTAAACTCACGTCCCAAAGACCCAATGAAACCAAGAACCCCCCGGCAACCATGGGAAGTCATCAGTGTCGATTTAATGGGCCCATACCCACGTTCCGGTAAGGGAAAATCGTACATACTGGTAGCAACCGACTGTTTTAGTAGGTGGACCGAGGTTTACCCCTTAGGAACAGCAACCTCAAAAACAATAATCGAAACGTTAGAGCGCGAGTTCTTTTCGCGTTTCGTTTACCCCCGCGTGTGTCTCAGTGATAACGGCCCACAGTTTGTGTCTAACGAAATGATAAACGCACTAGAACGCTGGGGGGCACAGGGTTGAACGACCCCAGTCTACCACCCGAGAGCCAACCCAGTCGAACGCCGTAATCAAGATTTAAAAAAAGGTTTGCGCTCACAACTAGTCGACGGCAAACATAAATCTTGGGACACGAAATTACCCTCAATTCTTTTTTCGATACGGAACAGGTGCAACGAACAGACATGCTACCCACCCGCGGTCCTTGTCCTAGGCAGGGAATGCAAGAGACCCGGGGATTGGGCGCTATCTAAAATTACACCGGTACATATCGAAAAATCACAGGAAGAGAGGGTAGAGCGGGAAAAACGTATTAAAGGCAAAAAGGTAGTGGTAAAGCTGAGCACGAACACCGGCACACCGGTGAAGTTCGGCAAGGGCGACGTAGTCTACTACAAAGCACACCACCTATCTAAGGCACATAAAGATTTTCATGCCGGGTTCGCACCAAAATGGTGGGGACCGGTAAGGCTAGCGAAGCAGGTCGGTAATCCTTTACCTGGGGCTAGTGTCCGGTGATTAGGACGAGCCGCGAACAGCCGCCCAGGTCACAAGGATGTCGACCCGCCAACTCCTGCAGGACCCAGTGCGGGCGGCCATTTACAACCGGGGCTGGGCGGACCGCACTGCCGACATCCAACGAAGGCTACAGCCACAGCGACCCGTGACGACACCCAGCAGCCGTACCCCGTCGCTGACGAGGCCACCACCACCGGGAACCACCACTACCCCCGTGGCACCCGCACCCGCACCCGTATCACCTGCGGAGTCCAAAACGGTACCCAGGACAACGGGGGTACCCCCCGTACCGGCGGTGAAGGTTAGAACGGAGGTTCCAACAAAAAGAAGTTCCAACAACTGAAGGAGAAGAGGATGGCCAGGGAAAGCAAGGCAAGCCAACAACAAAATTTTTCAAAATTGTTCGCTTAGAAGATATCACTGGGTCTGAACTAATTAATAGAGCATGCATTAAGTCAGTATTGGTACTTAGTCTTGATGTTTTGCGAGTACGATTTTCCCTAAAATTTTTATAATTTTTATTACATGCTTCTTGGGCTTCTTCAGATAATAATCCTATTGGTACAAGTGCATGTTTTATTACAATAGAACAATGTAACAAAATTGTATGCATACTTGGGGGCATGCGATACCAATTATACAACTCAATGTATAATTCGGCTGTTTCTTTACAATATTCATCAAATGACTCAAAATTAATTTTATATCCACTAGATATTGCAATTAATATATCACCTAATTTTTTAATTAGATTTAAATCAACACCTGTTATTTTTGACGAAATTTCTGCATTTTTAAAAAATCTCCTTGCTACATTCCCAGTATTAGATGTACCCTGACCTTGTACTATTTTATCAACTTTTATCCCCATATCATTCCAAAATGTTTGTTGAATATAATATTTTTTTTGTTGTTAAGCTTTCCCCTTCTCTTCTTTAGACATGCAACTAGTTGATTCGTGGATATTTAATTTATATGAAATATTTAAAATGCATTTCAAAAAATTGATCCACGCATGCAATGTAGAAAGCCCGTATTTCAAATTATCTTCATTAATTTTAAATTCTTGTATATTTTTTAAATCGTTCATATTTTTGGGTCCACAGTTACAAATAAAACATCTTTGACTTGATGTATCAGTTAAGTTATTTATAACTTTTTCATCTACCATTGTCATAACTAATTTACAGTGAACAGTAACAGAAATATTATTTATAACAATTTCAATTGGGACTAAGGCATTTATTTCATTTTCAATTGCCTCGACTTCTTTGCAAGTATTATATTTTGTTTCTTTTTTATATAAAAATTTAATGGGTCTACAGTAACGCGTGGAAGATGGTGTTAAATTTTTCCATAAAATATCATTTGTGTCATCAGTCATACCAAAAGTTAATCGTAAAGGAACAAGAGAAAATAAAAACATGTTTGCATCATTATATTCTACATCTTGTTCATAATTTTGTTCACAGTCATCAGTGTCGTTATCTCCATCACTACTTGAATGTGGGTCATTTAGGGTTAAATTTGTATTCTGGGTAAATGCTTGGTGATATTCGGTTTGACCAGAACTTCCATCACACCCCCATTTAAAAATAAACTCAGTCTTTACATATTTTTCAAAAAAATTAAAATCCTCAGGTAAATCGAAAGTTTGGAAGACTCGTCTAACCGTATGGTCCAATAAACTTTGGAGAGGTATAGACACACCAAATTCGTATATTTCTATTCCCTCAGGATAACACAATTTTTTTGCTTCTCGTATTCGATCATATGAAGGATACACATTTACCCCATGTTCTTTTAAACCTAATCGAGTTTGGTGATACACATTTTTTGTCATACGACAGTTAACCATATGAGCCAGCGCTTCATCTACGGTATATGGTATTATATTATTTTTTTCTAATGATTCACGATAAGTTTTCCTAATTTTTGCAGGACGACTTGGAGAGAATTCAGTTGACTGTTTCAATAAATCGGCTGCTGCATGTTTACCTTCTTTAAAAAGTGATACTCTTGTTGCACGAAGTAATCTGTCTGGTGATATTGTCTCCACTAATGGTTTAACTTTACGAATTTTAGATCTTTCAGATAAGTCTGAAAATGGCTTTGATGGACGACCACGAAGATCAACCGTTTTTTTTTTTCGTTTTTTGGCAAATCAAATTTAGTATCCAACCATCCCTCGTATTTTGAAATAAATGTACTTGCAGTACGATTAACAGCTGACCATTTACGATTTAATGTAATAGTATATGCCAAAGTTTTTGCATTCAATGCGGCTTCATAATGTTCATCAATAGAATGTTTAATATTGTTTTTAATGTAATCACATAAGAATGAACGACTATCGATGGAACACGGGTTTAACTGTCGCGGACGTTGTGGACCTCTCAGCGCATTGAATAAATCACGGTATGTAATACCTATAAAAATAACTACACATAAATGGTCAACATTAGGCAGATCATATTTTAAAATTGACTTAATAGTAAGTTTACTTATACTATATGATAAAAATTAGAGTGCTAATTTACGCTATTTTTTTTTTAATATCAATTTAATTATAAAATAAATTATTTATTTTGGTATTTCGTAATTGCAGTTTAATATTTAATTTTTAATTGAAGGGTTAAATAAATTATTATTAACTATTACATACCTTGTCCAATAGTTTCCATTGTATAAAATGTTTAAACTAAATAAACTTAATAATTTAAGATTTCGTAAAACTGAAAACAAGAATTAACATTAACCGTGTGTACTATGTAGCTAGGTAATGATGATTATTCAAAATTACCGTCGCAGCGTCGCTCTGGTTACTAATAGTATTGATATAAACGAATATAATTTTAGAAAAGCATCTATTTTAAGACCACTAGATAATAACAAATGTTAATTACGTAGTTTTTATCTATATTTTGATATATTTTTTTTTTATTTTTGTCGCGGTATTACGTCAAATCCTCCCACTGTGCGCCGTGCGCTAACAGCCACCACCGATACCGTTGATTATTTTACTTTTTGTATTACCACGTTGTTGCCGTTATCTAGTGTAGAAATAAAAACATACTCTCTACCTCAGACGCATTATATCTTTCTTTTTTGTGATCACTCCGTACCACATCGAGACGGGCATACCGCGGACCACCAACTGACCACCGCCGTAGCCGCGTCAGGCCCAAGTTTATTAAAGGTGCGATTCCTTAGAACGCGTCTAGAGACGCGCGACCAGCGCGGCCGACGCGGCGCGACTCTAATTTTAGCCGCGCGGTTGATAGCGGATTCCCTAGAACTACAAATCGCGCCGCGCCGCGCCACAACAAATGGCCGGGCGGCACATATTTTGATATCGGGTTAATACGTCGTTGTTCGTTCTACTGATCACATGTATTTGGTTACAATTTTGTATTTATTATAAATTTGTGTATTATAAATTTTCAAACCAGTGAACAATGTTGCGTCAACAGAAAAAAAAAATATTGATAAATCTATTATTAGAAGAAATAGAAGAAGAAGAAATTATAATTGAAGAAGTTATGACAAAAAGTGTGAACGATTTGTATTTGACCAGAAAAAAGGAGGGTTTTTTTAGTGTATTGATTGAGAAACATTTGTTTAGAGATGAAAAAAAATTCAGGGAATTTTTTAGACTGAGTTGGGAGCAGTTTAATTTTGTTTTAAATCTAATCGAAGATGATTTAAAATTAAATCCGTATAACAGAGTGAAAGAGCCTATTTCACCGGCAGAGAAATTCGCTGTGACGTTAAGGTAAGAATGTTTTTAAAAATATTTATACATATAACATATCATATACTTTATCAATATAAATAAAAAAGAAAAATTATAACGGAAGCATTATGTAAAAGAATAAATAAAATAAATATATCTTATTATATTGATAAAAAATAAAATAAAATCGTCACTTTTTAAAATAAAAAAAAACAAATTAATATTTAAGTAAAAATACTACTGTTCAAAAACATAAAATAGCATAAATAACAAGGTTAAAGTAATTGTAATAATTAAATGCAAATTAGTATTTAAAAATTTTGAAAATGTTCCGACCAATTGGATGCTGATGAGTTTCCATTGAGCTCAGAATGTGATGTGGCGGAATAATTTATCGGGTGTAACTCTTGGAACCTAGAACTTACATTTTCTGCAAACTCGTAATTAGAAGGACTACTTGTCTGATTCGATGGTTTAAGATTCAAAAGTTCCAGTTCATTTATTATTTTTAATACTTCCATTTTTGCTTTAATTTTTAGTTGGGGCGAAAACTGTTTTACTGTTAGGGCTATACTTTTGAAGAAAACGTCGATTGGGTCTTCTGCTTCTTCTGGGTTTGTCAGCTCTTGTAGTAAACGGCTTCTTTCTTCACTTCTTTGTTTCAATATTTCGATGAATGCTTCATTTTTTTTTTGTCGTTTTGTACCAGTTGTTTCTATTTTTGATTTTTGAACTTCTGTTGTAGACTCTAAAGTTGATGGTAATTGTATGTTTTCATTTTCCGGTTCAATTTGAGAAACACTATTATCCAATGAATTTAAACATTCTTCCTCGTCCTCATCGTTTGTCACATTCGTTAAGCTCCTATTATTATAATTTATAAGTATTAAGATTATATTTTACAAATAAATAATATCAATAAGTAAACAAATGTAAAATATATTATTAGTTATTACTGTCTTTCATATACAGCTGTATCCAAAAATGTCAAAACATCCTCTAGTATCCATTTCGAAGGTTTTTCTCTCGTAGCTGACCCAGTACCCAATTTTCTGCCTCTCCTTTTTTTATTATATGTATCCTTAATATTTTTCCACCGCTTTTTACAATCATCAACTGGATAAATAATTTTATGTTTAAAAATGTAAAAATAAATAAGAGTAAAACATAATTTATTATTCAAATATCAATATTGACATAAAAAATAAGTAGGTAGACATTATTGTCAAATAAATTATTATAAAAATAATTTTAACTTAAATACTATGATTAAAAAAAAAACAATAAACTTGTATTGAAAAATAAAAATAATATTATAATATAAATATAAACATAATAATTATGTCTTCAACCCTTCGATAAATATTGATCATAATTATTACTGTAGTATATTAAAATACCATAATTTATCTAAAAAAATTGAAAATAATTTTAAATTATAAAAAAGAATCCATACAAGAGTTGGATGGATACACGAGATGAATTGATAGGTTAGGCATTTTAGGATAGATTTTGGAATTATTTTATATTATAAAAAAAACGATTCTGAACGAAGATGAATTGTCGGTGTATATGTTTATAATAAATATTAAATAGTTATTTCACGCGTGAATTTTTAATTTTGTAATTTTTATTATTTTTAATTTTTAATTGAACCAATCACGATATTTCTTATACTTATTATAAGTAAAACTTATGGAGAACCTTGTATTATATTTTCAAGTGTTTTGGCAGAGTCAACAATTTTTCATCAACTTTTATAAAAAAAATCGAAGAAAAATCGAATATTTTAAATGCCTAAATATAGCTTAAAAATAAACGAAATATTTTGAAAATACATTCATGTAAAGAAAACGCTAATTCAAACATTTTATGTAAGTTTCAAGTTTCTACGACGTATACATTTTGAATAAGAACAAATATCAAAAATCGTTGAAGGCTAAATTGTTATTTTACGCAATTATGCAATAATTATAATTTCAAACACTCAACAAAAAACATTCATCATAGTAAAATTAATACATTCTTCACTTCGTTCAGAATCTAAAAGTATAAATTAAACACAATCAAGTGTTTTTTTATAATTTAAAATTACATTAAAAATAATATAAAAAATATATATATGATACATATATTATATATATAATTTTGGTAAAACTAATAAGTTATTGGCAGATAAATATTTTTCTGTTTTAAATAATAGTTTTTTTATATTTGCATATACTGATATTATATACTTAAATACTTTAATATAATTGTATTATTATTATTATTATTATTATTATTATTTAACAGGTTTATGGCAACTGGTGAATCTTTTCATTCCCTTGCTTTTGCCTTTCGTATTTCTCAAAGTTACATTTCACGTATTGTGAAGCTAGTTTTGAAAAGTTTAAGCAATCGATTAACACCTATTTTATTACCTACACCAACAAAAGATGACATGGTAGAAATATCAAAACAGTTTTGGAAAAAGTGGAATTTTCCGAATTGTGTGGGTGCCATTGATGGTAAGCATATTCGTATATTTTCACCAGAGAAAAGTGGATCATTATATTACAATTACAAAGATTTCTTCTCAATCGTTTTGTTGGCAATTGTTGATGCGAACTGCAAGTTCATTTTGGTTGACATAGGATCTTATGGTAAAGAGAGCGATAGTGGTATATTTAACAAATCAAAAATGTCAAAACAAATGAAAAATTGTGAATATTTTCCACCTAATTGCAAAATTCCAAATTCAGAAAAAATATTGCCGTATGTATACATCGGTGATGAAGCATTTCGTTTGGACCCACACATGATGCGACCATACTCTAAAATAGAGTCTAGAAATGATTGCGAAAAAAAAATTTTCAATTATCGTTTGTCACGGGCAAGAAGAACGACTGAAAATAGCTTTGGACTATTAAGCCAGGTTTTTAGAGTGTTTTATACACCGATACCAATAAAACCAGAAACCGTCGACCATCTCATATTATCTGCATGCTGTCTTCATAATCTTTTACGTGCTCAATATACTTTAGAGAATACATCAGAACAACACTATTACAATTTTGACCCAAATGATTATCCTGCTAATAATATGGTACAGCTTGAGCATACGGGAGGATATGGAAATTATGAAGGCTTTTTAGTAAGAGATGAATTTAAACAATTTTTCAACTCTCCGCAGGGTACAGTACCATGGCAAAATTATCATACATTAAGAACCGATACTTCGTAAAATGTCATAGGTATAATATTTTTAAATATTTTGTATTATAATATTGAAGTACTGATTACATTAATTTTCATTTTTATTTTTAACTTCACTAATTGTTTGTTTATATATCTCAATAATATTATATGTACAGTTTATAATGTTTATAATGTATATATGTTTAATCTGAAATGAGAATACATGAGCATTTTTTTTAACCTTGTATTATTTATATAAATCAATAATACATAATATTCCAGTTTCTGTCTATATTATTATTAAAATTATGAAGAAAGTGTGATGGGCCAAACGTTGTCCCGAAATATTATCCCTTGAGTGAAAAATATAATATAATACATATTTATTATAATATTATATTCGATCAGACCTAACTATATTAGACCAATTTTTGTAAAAAGATATATGATAAATACCGTAACATAACGTAATAAGACCGGACTGAATACTATTGCATTTATAAATAAAAAGTTTTAAAAATTAAAAAATACCTGGTCTGTTCAATTCGTTTGAAATTTGTTTCCATACATTTTCTTTTATTATTTGATTTTTGTATGAAGGGTTTGCCAAGTCAAATAAACATGGATGAAACCCAACGAGTTCAGCCAAGGTTTTATCTTCTTCAGTACTAAATCCCGTTTTCATGATGTTCGAAGACATTTTTATAATATAATATTGATAAATATTATTTAACGTATTATATAATTAATAAATTAATTAAAATAAATATAATAAATTAATAAATATTATAATAATAAAATTTAATGTAATATTTATTCGTATTAATTATAAAAATTACGAGCACGCGGCCGCGTCATGACTGCCTCTGGCGCGGTCACGGTCGCGCGGCTCTAGACGCGCGCGGCGGTCGCACGCGTCAGCCGCGTTCTAAGGAATCGGCTACATCTAAAAATAGCAAAAGAAGTCCAAGCGCGGCTAAAATTAGAGTCGCGCCGCGTCGGCCGCGCTGGTCGCGCGTCTCTAGACGCGTTCTAAGGAATCGCACCTTTAAGCAGCCCAATTTTTCGACAGGCCTATGCGGGGAAAGCTCACCCGGTACCCTAGCCAGCTCACAACTGTGTACCTAAAGCTAAATATTAAATTTGCTGTCGTATATGCTGTCGTATATACCTCTATCGCCACTTGAGCAACCAAAAGACCATAATTTAACCGGTTACAGTTTGGCTCTCTAGACGTCGATATCGCTACCTTACTGTTTAGACTTTCAATCTTCAACGACCATAAATTAACCGGTTACAGATCAGATTGAAAGAATACAATTAACGTAGGACTACCTTCACCGTTTGTACCTTAAATCGTCAACGACCATAAATTAATCGGTTACAGATCGGATTTAAAGCGTACGTAGAATTGCGTGGCTATTCAAACAAAACATATAATTTTCGGGTCGGAAACACTTTTATTAAAATATAAAACAAACATAAATAAAATACTTAGCAAATTCGGATTGCCCAGCCCGTACTACGATCGACGTTTCACACGTACAACCGTAGTACCTACGTCTTCGCCGATTCACCAGCGACAACGGGACTCCTCGTGCCTGCGCGTACGGCGGTGTTATATAGTAAAATAATTATTGCTGCCTCAGCACATCTTGCTTCATTGGCCTGACCTATGTCAACAGTTTATAATAAAAATGTTCCCACCTATATTATGTGTACATTATAGTGACGACTGTCTACAATATACGACAGTACCGTGCCCATAAGCGCAACTATAGGGGGGCCCAAAACTTGTAATAGTCTCCCAAAATAAATTATTCAATTGTTTTCTAAAATACTAATAAACCTTTTAAAGTTCAACTATAATTCTAATTTTTTATTTTGGAAAAAAAATTAAATCATTTAATTTTATATAAGTTTATAATTATTTTATATAATGCCTATGATAAATATGTTAAACTATTAATAGCTGCATGCTTGTATTTGTTTTTAATTTTTAAGGAAACGATTTATGTTACCATAACTATAGGTACGTAATATAGCATCGTTAAAAGAATGAAAAATATACTTGTTGAAATTACTTCGATCGCTATAATATGTATATTATCAGGGATGGGCAATTGGCGGTCCGCATATCATATTTTTTAAGTGGCCCGTGCTACATTTCAAATTACTTAGGTAATTAAAATTCAATATTTCTATATATTAATTTATTATATTGATAAAATTATTAAAGTCGATATAATTTTTATTGTAAAACGTAGATAATTAAATTTGAAAAACATATCAAAAAACCTAAATCCTTCAATAAAAATCCTATTTTTATGAATCCTTCGAGGATCGAAAAAAAAACGTCCCTAGACCAGTTACCAGTTTTTAAATGTTTATTAACCCAATTATAAAAAGGGTAAATGTTGTGATCAAAATTTGAATTTAAAAAATAAAATGGCGGAAAATTTTGTTTTACTAATTTCTCAAACTTAAATACGAGACATTTATTTTTTGAGATCAGACATTTGATCTAGAGGCAGTATCGTACGCAGGATTTTAGTTCGGTTATGGTTTTACCTGAGTAAATAATTTATATTATTTTAAAATAAAATAATATAAAAAAAAAAAATCGTAATAATCGATGAAAGATTATACACCATCGACTATGGCAGACGTTTAGCAACGTTCTAAATCAGCCAAAAAAAAACTGAAACTAATCATATATGATTATCGAAGTCGTTGTCATATTCAACAATTTATTTTATTTCTATTAAAAATTACGAACAATTGTTTTTTGTGTATCAAAATGGTGGTAAATAAGATTTTTTTGTAGTAACAATAAATTTTTTTTTGGGGGGGGGGGGTCAGAACCCTATAACCCTACCCCTGCATACGCCACTGTCTAGAGGTGTCACTGCATTGAATCGCTAAGATTTCAAGACGATACAACCCATATTGAAGGAGCAAGTACTCCAAAATGTACATCCAATTTTGTGTTAGCTCAAAATGCTCAAATATATAAATTAGAGTGAAATGACTTTATTTTATAGGTTTTAATATTTTATTCTTATATACGTATCGATTTACATTAATAATTAATGAGCTACATGCCTACTAAAATAAATGTGAAATAAAGTTCAAAATAACTATTACTTAAAACTTTATACAGACGTATACCATATGGAAACGTCTGGTTAGGTTTAAATACGGCGAATAGGTAATCACATATTGCGTATTTCAACTTTTTGGTACTCCGATTACAGGCGAAATAATGGTCGTACGTACTTTGTTAGTCATAGACTCTTTTTGAATCATCGTACACCAATAATCCAGAATCTCGAGTTTCGAAGTGATCAAACGAAAACCCAAAATACACGTAAGTACGTTTTTTGTACTTACGTACGTAAGTACAAAAAACACTCGAAAAATCATAACTCCAAACTCCCGAACCACAAGTCGGATAACCTCGATCTCGGTACCCATCGATACGGCGCAAAGACCTCTATAACACCCGACTACAAAAACAGCTCGCTGAGCCCAAAATCTAATTGTCCGTGCTGAAAACCCCCAAAAACGCAAATGTTGAACTTTCGAAGCCCCAAAAAACGGCGAAAAACGGCTCATATGGTCCCGACACAAGACACCGAATTTGATCACTGACCTAAAAACGATATATATCTCGAGTTTCAAAAACGTAGTACAAAAACTAAACCTCTTACAAAATACACCTAGGGGGGGGATTCCTACTCCGGGAGTACGCTTTAGAAGGGCCTAAACCGAAACGTTTGGGAAATTAAAAGTATAATATTATTATTTTATGTGAACGTCATCTACCTATAAATGATTTATTGAAGTATATTTTTTGTGTATTTTTTTTTTATATATTTTCCAGTAGTTCCACAGATATATACAATATATTATACACATAAGGGCTTCAGCCCCCATAGCCTCCCCCTTGTATCCGCGCCTGTATATATACATATCTTATATATATATATATCTTAGTCCGTGATACATATAGGTATACCATTGTATAATATATCTGTGAGTAGTTCAATAGATAATCATAGATTGATTAAGGTAATGAATTATTAATTAGTGTAACCACGGTTCATGTTTTAGACGGTTACCACTTAATTTCGGTTATGATATCATATCTCATATCGTTTCCACGCACCAACATGATCCAACTGTAAATCCATAAAGGTTCTATCCTATTACGGTTTATATACATATAAAAAAAATTAGCAGAGCCGTCCTAAGATATTCGGAGTCAGACGAGGCGTCGCGCCGGGGAAAATGAATGAAGGGCTAAAACATACTCACCGAGATTTGCTAATTCTTTGGAAATTAATATTATATATTATAAAATATTTTTTTACTATTTTAAAATCACTAATTTTTTTCGAACATAATATTACAAAAAACTTACAACTTTAATACTTTAAATATATAACAGTTTAACAGTTTTAGTAAATTGTTTCGTGCGAGTAGTTTCATCGCTAATCTTTTATTGTTTGTTTTCGTATTTTTCACATTATCAATCGAGACGATACTAAATATTTCAGTAATTTTGATTATAGTCTATTTATATTATGAATATTATAATAATATATAATTATATTATTTTAGTTACCATCCGAAGTTGCAGGTCAAATGCCGAATCCAAAATGTTTAAAAAGAACAATACAACGGGTTAGGAACATTTCTGAAGCCATTCTTGCAAATCCACAAACATTAAATTTTGAAATTCCTGATCAATTCAGATTAACATAAGACGGAGACAATTTTTTGTTGTACGACAGTGGTGATAGTGACATATATGAAGACAGGATTTTATTATTTTCGACTGAGAGAAATTTAAATTTATTAAAAGATTCAGAAAATTGGTTTTCAGATGGAACATTTTCATCCTGTCCGAATTTATTTTACCAATTTTATACCATTCATTCAGTATTTTGTTACATGCGGCCCTTCAGGGATCCAAAAGCTGGTGTACTTGATAAATAATAATAGTCAATTAGAATAGTAATCAAATGTATTATATTAAACCAGACAAAACAAGCAGAATAATAGTGTTGATTGTAGTGAATTTGTGGCTCGTTCCGAAGTTGATAATCTCCGTGTAAGTCGTGTGTGATGGCTGGGCGGCTAAGCGAGTCGTGTGGTGTTCTCGTCTCTGGATACATCTAACTCAGGCTGTCTCGCTGTCCCCTATATATATGGTGGCGGCGTCCTTTGAAAGTGAGCGGCGCGTGTACAGTCGTCCTTGATATGGACCTCACGACTATGAAAGTGGTATTCGTAGTCGAAAACACTTTTGGGTGTGGTCGCATTCCTGGTTGTTATTATGAGCAAAATATATGATATTGCGTAATCCCAATATATGATATTGCGTAATCCCATTACACCTCACTACCAAAAAAAAGATTGTTAACCTTTAAGGGTTAAGAATCTTTAACATCGTTAATTAATAGTTTACAATGGCTGAATTACATTGTTTACATTGACATTTTAAATTTTGTATGCAGTTAACAATTTGATTATAGTATTACATTTGATTACAATAATGTGAGCATTTTACAATTTTTAATGTCATCATTATTATTATTATTATTGTTTTTTTTTTCTCTTTTATTCATATTACAATTTTAATTGTGGTTAGTAAAATAAATTAATACATGATTTAATTAAACAATAGTGTTA